GTCCTTGGCCATCCCTTCTGCCAGTCGCCGCACCCATCGCTCTTGGGTGCCTGTTATTGAAATCTCAGGCCTTGGGGTGGCCCCATCCTATTCCTTATCCATACCCAGCATCACCCACACTCCAGCCTGGAGGTTAATTCTTTCAGTCAGCACCAAGGTGTGCACAGGGGACCCATTATCCCCACCCTCTCTGTCTGTGACAGGGGCCCGAGAGCAGCCCTGCTGGGGTGCAAGGACAGTGTGGACGCTGGCTGATGCCGGCACCTGTCTGTCCTGCAGAGCTAGCCCTGGCTAGGCTGCTGAGCAGTCCTTCTTGCGTTTCAGGACCCAACCACCGGGCGCCTGGAGCAGCGCCTGGTACATGTGGAGCGGCCCATCCTCCGCATTCCCCACCTGGCCATTCACCTGCAGCGCAGCATCAATGAGAACTTTGGGCCCAACACCGAGCACCACCTGTAAGGCCTGGCTCGACCCAGACCCCTGGCAAGCCCTCCAGAGGGCTGGGACCCAGCTGGAGCAGTGCTCAGCTTCAGATCTGGCCCTTTGACAGCTAGTCATTGCAATGAGCATTTTTGCAATGACTTTTCTCCATCCGTTAGTCCTCCTGGGACATACTGCCAAGACTGGGGCTTGGGGAAAGATACTGAAGTGCCCTGAGGTGGCTCACAAAAGATTTATGCTTTGATTTGGGTGTGTCCTTGCTACATTCAGCCTGGCAATCACTCCCTGGAGAAGCAAGGCCGGCACCCCAGAACGACTTTGTGTGCGACTCATGCGGGAGAGGGGAGCATCGCCCTGGGAGCTAATGGCACTGTCGCACTGTCTCTCCACAGGGTTCCCATTCTGGCCACTGCTGTGCAGGAGGAGCTGGAAAAGGAGGTCCTCATGGAGGGCACACCTTGCGAGGCTGCGGCCCAGGTGAGCTGGGTGACGGGGACTAGCAGTGGGCTGTCTCTAAGACTTCACACTTGCCACCTTGTGATCTCTAGCCCTCAGGGCTTCCTGTCAGCAGGTTCTCCTCCTTCCCCTTCTCCCTGTTCAGTGCTGGTGACCCTGCACTCCACCCCACAGCCACATACACTATGGACATGCCCAGCCACCCCTCTGTTCCCACCCTGTCCTGCAGAGGGGGACGCAGTCCCCATAAAGCCATCACAGATGGCTCCCCCTTTCTCCCTGGGGAGATGGGCAGGGAGGGGAGATCTGTGCACTGGGCAGAGAAGTCTGTGCTGCCCTGTAGGGTGAGGGCTTGAATGCAGGATGTGTTAGTAGGAGAGGGGACCGTGCCAGGATGAGTGAGGTGTGGGACTGCTCCCCAAGGGGGAATAGAAGGTTTTTCCCTATGCTGTGTATCCCCAGCCCTGCCTCCAGCTCTGCTTTCTTCCCAGACAGAGCGGCACAGCCCTGTCCTGCTCTCCCTGCTCTGCTCCCAGCTGAGGGTGAAGCCAGAGCAGATCTTGGAGCTGGAACTATGCCTAGCGGATACACAGCCAGCGGTGAGTAGGAGCAGGAGCCTCCTGCTGCCTGCTTGCACAGCGTGCTTGCAGACTGGCACTGCACAGGTCCTGTGCCTAGGACATTTCCTCGGCCTTGGGAGGTGTCGGGGCTGGGAGATGAGGGGACTGAGAAGAGACAGCCCCTGAGGGGGCAGAAGTGAGTGGGATGAGGACCCAGTGGCAGGTGCCTTTGGTGACCCAAAGCCTATGCCCTGCTGCTCATTTCTCTGCCTGCAGACGCTGGGTGGTGCCTTTGATGAGTTCATCTTCTCCCCACGCCTGGACAACCTGCACAGCTGCTACTGTGCCCTGCAGGTGAGTGGGAAGTGGAGGGGAGCCTCAGAGCCCCAGCATGGTCCCCATGCACCCTGGCTTCACTCAGCGTGGCCATGAGTCACAGGAGGCTCTGGGGTGTGGTGTATTCCTATGAGGTGGGTCTCGTTTGTCAGAGGATCTGGAGTTGGATGGGTGCTGCCCCCGTGCTGGGTGTGTAGGAGTCCCAGCAGCTCCCAGGGGTGATTGCAGCTCTTGCTGGACAATGCGCACATGTATGTGCGGGTGACTCCCTCCCTTGGTGCTTTGGGCTTTCCTGGGGAAAAGCCCTGCCTGTCCAAGTGCTGAGCTTCCTGGGAGAGGATGGCAGCTCAGGCTGGTGCCTTGTATCTTCCTCTGCCCCTGCAGGCCTTGATCGACTCGTGCACGGCTCCCTCCTCCCTCACCCAGGAGCCCAACGTACGTCTCATCGCGCTCTATGACAACGAGGAGGTGAGTGTGGGGTGCAGCCAGGGAGTGACTGGCACAGGGAGGGGGCCTGATTTCTTTGCTGGCCCTGATAGCGTGTAGGAGAAGACAGATCCCAGGCCCCCATGGAGCAAGATGGGGTTCGCTCACCCCAGTGTGAGTCTGGGAGAGGCTCCACTACATTTGGAGGCTGCCGTACTGGCTGTGGGGAGCACCCTGCCACAGAGCTGGTGCTGAGGTTGGGCGGGGGGCTGCCTTGTGTAGGTTGTGCTGATGGTACTCCCCGGCAGGTAGGGTCAGAGAGCGCCCAGGGCGCGGAGTCCCTGCTGACGGAGCTGGTGCTGCGCCGGATCTCGGCATCACCGCAAAACCTGACAGCCTTTGAGGAGGCCGTGGCCAAGTCCTACATGATCAGCGCTGATATGGCCCATGCTGTGCACCCTAACTATGTGTGAGTGATCTGAGTGCTGCTTTGAGCTGGGCGAGCCTGCCCTGCCAGCTGGGGGCATGTATCCCTGTCGCTCCCCAAGGAGCAGAGGCAGGGGAGTCTTTGCTGCAGCGAGGAGGGGGGGGCTTTGGCATGAAACTCCTGCTTCTCTTTCGCAGGGACAAGCATGAGGAAAATCATCGGCCGGCCTTCCATAAGGTGAGGGCAGCCCTCCGCTCTCTGCTAGACCAGGCACCATCCATCTGTCCTGCAGCAGCATAAAATGCCCAGCTGGTCTCCCGAGCACAGTCCCAGAGTGTGATTCAATAACACTTGAACAGGACATGTTTGTCTTGTTTGCAGCATGGTTTGGTCATGCCGCATGTCTAACATTAATCCGTTTGGGCCCATGGCCTCAACCCTGGAGTCCTTCATTGAGCCAGCCCTAGCTCTGAGCCTGGGTTGTCCCTGAGGGAGACCTGGCCCTTGCAGGACCCCCATTGCCATGGATCACTCAGGGAAGAGAGAATGGACTGATGGGTTGGGGGGGGGGGAAGTGTTTCTGCCTGAATCCCTGTGAGTCTCTCCCTGGGCACTGGTACTGCCAGATCCTCAGTCTGTCCCCCACCCCAGGCCCAGGTCTCATAGCGCCTCCCTTGCACAGGGCCCTGTGATCAAAGTGAACAGCAACCAGCGCTACGCCTCCACCGCTGTCACAGAGGCAGTCATCCGGGACATCGCGGCCCGCGTGGGTGTTCCTCTGCAGGTGAGCAGGGCTGAGTGAGCACAGTCCCTCAGAGAATGTCACCAGCTTGCACCATGGCCTTGCACCTGGGTGCTGGAGAGGGTGCCTGTGCTGGAGGAGTAGAACCTATGTTAGACACTTGCCCCTTAGTTACTGTGTCTGTGCTCTCTGGGGTCTGTCATGCCTGCTGCTCTGGAGTCTCCATCTCCTGGGGTTTTGGGGAGCAGGCTCAGGAACAGAAGGGAGGGCAGGCCTAGCCTGACCATGTTGCTTCTCTGGGGGACTTTGCACCAAGGCACTGCTTCTCTGTCCCAGGTTGTCTCCCTTCAGATGCTATCCAAACACCCAGGCCTGTGGGAGGGTGGGTGCTGGGAGGCATCGTGGGGGGCTGCTGACGCCATGTCCACGTGCAGGAGTTCATGGTGCGGAACGACACGCCGTGCGGCACCACCATCGGCCCCATCCTGGCCTCCCGCCTGGGGCTGCGTGTGCTGGACATCGGCTGCCCACAGCTGGCCATGCACTCCATCCGGGAGATGTGCTGCACCTCAGGGGTGCTGCAGAGCATCAACCTCTTCAAGGTGAGTCAGGTTCCTGCCTGCCACCCCCTGCCCCACGCAGCGGGGCCCCGTCCCTGCTGCCCTGCTTCCTGCCATGTCAAGTGCTCCTGCATCCCCATCCAGCCCGTTTTTGGGGCTGACCCCATCCACCTGCAGCCCTGCTGGGCTCCCCACCCCTCGCAGGGCGAGGCAGGTGCTGGATGCTTCCGGATGTGCCCCCTCGCATCCCCACCATGTATCCCAGTCTTCCCTGGTGCCTGCCATCCCCAAATGGTTCCTATGGCAACTGGCGCTAGCCTTGAGTCAGTGATGGGTTACTATGGCGACACGGTCCTGCTCTGTGTGAGTAGCTGGCTGCTATGACGCCACGCGTGTAACCCAACGGGGAGCTGCTGCCTGCCCCCACCGCCTGTCTCCCCCATCGCCACCGGACTACCCAGCCCACCCTGATGCCCCGTCTCATTCCAGGGCTTCTTCGAGCTCCTGCCAGAGGTCAGCAGCAGCCTGGTGGTCGACTGAGCACGATGGGGAGGGAGCAGCTGCGGGGTTCAGCCCTCGACACGGGGTCGATTAAAGCATCTCTGTCTTGCGAGCGAGTGGCTCTGTGTGTGTGTGGCTGGGGCAGAAGTGATGGACCCAGATCCCTGAGGGCAGCCCGAGCAATGCCAAGGTGTGGGAGCCAGTGCTCCAGAGCTACCACCAGTGCTTTCTCCCATGCCTTGGGGCCAGAAGTGGGACCCTTCCCCCTGCCACAGACTGCTAGCTGCACCCTCAGAATCAAACTTGGTAGAGGGTGCTGTAGCACCCAGTTCATGGGCAGGGGACTGAGCTGCAGTGGGCAACAAAGGAGCGTTCAGGTAAATTGGGGAGAGTTTGTCAGTGTGGGCACACTGCCCACTCCTGCTGTCCCACTGCCCAATTCTGCCCCCAGGCACTAGGATCTGGGAGACTGGGGGCAGAGGATGTCCCCTGGATTTTGGGGGGCTGGAGCTTTCATCACTCCAGGGGGAAAAGAGAGGTGGGCTAGATCCATGGGCTCCAGCATTGAGCCTGCCCTGGTGCATCCGGGAGTCTTTGGGATGTCTGCTGTGATCCCCCTTCCAGCCCAGCAGCTGCATCCGGCACAGGAATGGAGCAGGCAGCATCTTCTTGGGCTCTGTGCGGCAGGGCCAGGAGGCGTCCTGCCCACTACCCCTCTGCCGGAGACCCTAGCCCTGGGCACCCAGTGTGGGCGTGTAGGACACAGACCCACTCCCTGAAAGCACCGGGCCCTGGAGGAAGGGGGCTGGGTTGTGTGGGCAGGGCCCTGGCTCACCGCTTTTGCAGGGGAGCAGTGGGCATCACCCTGGGCTGATCCCTGAATGACCCCCGAGAGACAGGGGCTGGGGCTCCCCTCTGTCCCCAGACCTGGGGGCCCGGCAGCCCCGGCCCCTGTCTGAGGGGCCCTGCTCTCCGCGGTGCCCAGCAGGGCCAGGCTGCTCGAAGCGCAGGGAGGGCCG